GGGGGAGGGGGGTTAGGTAGGGTGCAGGGGCGCGATGCTTACCCCGCAGATTGCCTGGCTCCAACCAAGGCCGCGCCCCAGCGGTTCTAGGGGAAAATAAAGTTGCACGTACTTGAACTGCCTCGAACTCCTATCTATTTCCCATTTTATTTGATGCTGCCCGAGCTCTCTCTCTCTCTCTCTCTCTCCTTTCTCCTTGGCTGGCTGTGGAATTGAATGCTAGCTTTGGGCTGAATTGTTATGTCGGGGTGCTCAAAGACAATAGATTTTAGATAATGCTCGGAGCAGGAGGTGGAGAGGGCCAGGGCCTCGAAGGGGTGGGTTTTTAAAGGCGCCCGGGACACTTTATGCCCAGACATCAGGAGCAGTGGGGCCCGGATCGTGAGCTGAGCGGTGAGCGTGACCAGTGGAAGTGGGGCCGTGCGATCCGTATGTGTGACGTACAGACCATACTTGCACAAAGCACAGCTCTTTACGAAATTAATTCCTCCAATTTTGGTGGTGACGACGAACCCGGATGGAAGGATCTGCGTTCGATACTGCACTCGTAAACTGTAGTTTAAGCTCAGTTTTACTGCAGTTAACTGTAGTTAAACTATAGAGAGGGCTTTTCTCAGTTTTTTTTTGAACGCTCAATGTCCTACAAGTATTTCCCCAATGTTGTCTTCTCTTGCACTGTCAATACGGTGATTTTCACTGTAAGCTACGGCGAATCTAACCGTAAGCTACAATGCTGCAGGCTTTCACTGTAGCTTACGGTGAAAATCATTGCAAGCTTTTCTTACAGTGTGCTGCGCGCCATTGCATTCGAAATATACGCGAAGCGAGCCTGATGCTTTAATCGTGCTTAACTACTGTTAAAAATAATTCGTTCCATTTGCATAAGTTGGCCGTTGCGGGGCGCTGCAGGCGCGGCGTACGGCTCCCAGCGGGGCCCTGCCGATGCGCTCCTATGCACTCACCGCACTCCCCGGGGCCGTGTCGGGGCCGCACTTCTTTCCCGCCCCACTTCCTCTTACGATCTGACCCAACCGATTCCTCTGCTCCGCCTTTCTTTGCAGCCGAGCTGTGGAATTTTCCCCCGTTGGACGCTGTGCCCCTAAATGCTCCAGGCTGCTGGCCCCGCCGGCCCCGCTTGCCCCGCTGGCACGCGCTCGGCGCCCCTCCTGGAGCCTCCGTCCGGTCCAGCACGCCTGGAGTGCGGCGCGGCGGGGCAGCGATGCGCTCGAGAGTGAACGCGAGATAAGAGCGGATGGATTTCCCCCCCCCTCCCCTCCCCCACCTCCCCTTCTTCCTCGCTTCCTATGGCCCCTCCTCCCCCCACCTCCCCCCTGGTATGTGCTCTTTACCAAAAGGGGCGAGGCAGAGTGTGCGATTGGGCCGCCGGTAACTGCTCTGCATATGCGCTGTGTGCACACGTATTTGTGCGTGAGGAGGGAATGACCCCCTCCTCCGCCTCCATGTACACTGCCTCGGGAGCTGGTAGCAGGCAAGTGCTTATTAGACCATGTGCCGTCGATATACTTTGCTGCTGTGCTGCTGACCTGGTTTCTCTAAAAGACAAATTGTAAGCATTCTTTCAGATGCGGCCGTACCGTACACTCCAAATGTAAGGGAACAATTTATTTGCTCCTTCAACGACAAAATTTCTGTGCATATCCAGATCAAACGAAAAATTATTTCTCTTCAATCTGCAGTTTCCATGGGCATTTTTAGCAGATGATACCTTACAACCTTGAACTTACACTAATCATATTTCAAACACTTTTTGTTTCAGTTTTAAGAACAAAAGTGCAAGTTGCATACGGCCTTCTGGATTCACGCCCACGCTAAAACGTTGCCGTTTAATGAACAAAATTGCTCTTTTACATTCAAAATGAAAGTTTTGCAATTTTTACTGCGCATCCTTTCAGGAACGTGTTAATGTTAAAACATGACGTGACCATAAAGACACAGAACGCTGAAGGAGGGTATTTGGCTGAAATTCGAAACGCTCGGAGAGGAGATGCGAGAAGAACACGCGATGGAGTTTGGGAAACACTGTTTTGGTGTATTCATGACGTGATTTATTTTGTCTCGATTCGCTCAATGGCTCATTTGCACTCTTGGCTGCACGCTCCGCAGTGCGGCCGGCGCCGTGTGGAAGGCGCTCGCGGTCACGGCCCGGTCGGCACCGCCTCACCCGCGCCGCCGCGCGGACAGCTGGAGGTGGCTTGTAATTGGACTCCTGGTGTCGTTTCGGCCCCTCCGGCTGCGTCCGAGGGGCACAGCGCCCACCGCCGGACCCTATGGCTTTGTGTGGGGCCGCTTCGAACGCGGACCAAACGACGTGGAACAAAGCGGCCGTTTGATCGAAACGTGTGTCCGCGAACACGCGCTCTCTCACGGCGTGTCGCGGCGCTGTGTGCCACTATGTGGTGGGGCTGTACAACACTGCTTCCTTTGCTCCTCTGTCTCCCGTTCGGACGCGTCACCGCGCTCGCTATGCCACCCTGAGCGAAGTGTCGACGCGGGCTTTGTCCAGGAGCGTTTGGGTCGCACGTTACTACACCGAGAAAACAGTTACATTGAATTAACGGAAAATCACTACGATATCATTAGGAATTTAATCGATAGAAAATCTGCTAAAATTTCACTCTAAAACCTGTGATTATCCTTTATTTCTTCCCCAATGAAATTCTAATGAATCAAGAGGAAAATTCCATCATATTTTCATTCTATTTAATCAACGGATCGTTTTCTTTGTGTACTCTGGAACTCAAGTGTCGTACAGTTTGACAGTTTAAACTGCAGTACTAATGGTACCAATGGTCATAGTGTACGACACTTGAGTGTCCAGAGTAGCGAGCGTAGTATCGGCCAGCACTACGTTTCGGTCGGTTTCGATGCCCATTTTTGTTTGTCTGATGCGCACGTAGATGAGCGCTTCTATTCACATTATTCTGCGTTGAAAGTACGATTTTAAAAAAGGTGCTATGGATTGAAAATAACAGTAACTTTGACGTTCTTTTCCGCGTCGCACTGTGTGGTTAGAGTGGACACGAGTCAAGTCACGACGGCTCCCAGAAGCAGCGGAGGAGGAGAGGAAGCAGAGGGAGGGGCGCTGCTGCATGCAGCCAGTCACTCTCAGGCCGCGCGGCAAAGAAGAGCGCCGTGCTGCTGGCCCCTGGCCCCGCCCCGCCCCGCCCCGCCCCGCCGGCTTTTTGCTCGGTCGGGTCGGGACGGTCCACCATCGCCGCGCCTCGCCGCCCTGGCTTTTACGTCATTCCGTTAAACTCCGACGATAGCATCTGCATGTCCCGCCCGACCCGTACCGCGTACACTGTGCGGGTCAATAATTTGCTCTGGGTATTTCTTCACAAAAACTTTAAGTTAGGGCGAAGGATTTTCGGAAAATTATTGGCTGAGCGATTAGCGAAGCACATTACTCCACTGACCGAAGAAGATGCATTCTGTTTGTTTGTCTGTCTGTCCGCACGATAACTCTAGAACGAATTGTTATAGCGATCTGGAAATTTCAGGGTCGTTTTGTATCGTAAAAGATTTGGGGTGAACGCACTTCATAGGCCTGGAGCCCACGGCTCACAGCTCGCCCTCAAACCGTGTACTATTTTACCCAGCACAAGGTGTATATGGAGGCCAAACACATGTCCGGGGGGCTTGGCAGTGGATTAGGGCTGTTTGGCATATTATGCATACAAAGGTCTATGGTTGCAGTACGACAAAGGTGTATGCCCAGAGTGCGACTTAAGTTGCTGCACTGTTTTCTGTAGCGTACACCTTTTTCGCCCTCTCCCGGTACGCCTTTGAAATTACAGTGTAGCTACACTACAATTTGTTTGTGCATGTACAATACGATCTTTAGCATAAAATTAATTCTACGTACTTCTAGATAATAGAGCGATATTGTGAATCCAATACGTAGAATTAATTTTATGCTAAAGAATGAACAGGTTTTTAAGCTTATCACTCTAAAAAATTGTTTGTGCATGTACAATATGTTCTGTAATGTGCCATTTACAAAAGGAGTCGTACATATTACATGCACAACCTCCCACTCTTGCCCGTTATTCGACTCCAAGTCAATACGCAGCGTCTGTAAATTAATTAATTGTAAAATTTTACAATTTTGAATTATAATTGCAAGTTCAATATATGATTTCGTGGAAAATTTTTCCGTACCCGGCACGACAATTTTTCACAGTGATTGTGGTGGGATCATCTAGAATCCAGAAAGTGTGTATTCGTCATTTACCGTTGCGAAATTGCCACGTTCATCCATAGGGCTCATAGAGTCTACGTAACTTTTTTCACGATTCAAATTAGTCATCATGTAAATTATTGTAAGGAGTAGTTTAGTCCTATAGTCTGGGGCGAAGTCTTTATGAGTTAGTAGGCAGTCGTGGAGACCCTTTGCACCCCTCCATTACCAAACTTCATTTTCTTTTGCAGGATTACCGATGCCTGACTGGAGCCCCTGTCCGCGAAGCGCGCTCCCTTGGCATCTAAAAGGTGAGTAAATGGTACAACTCTAAAAACACTGGATATAATGGTCATTTTTATATATTTACATGCTCGCACATGGTGCCATGCATTTAGCGCGTTCTGTGTGATGGTTCAGCCACGGTGGTTATCTTCTCTAGCCTTGCTTCTGCCGCGCACCATGAGCCCCACTGCCCTCAACACCTCCGGCGCGTCGGTGTGCGCCGTCTGCTCCGACCTGGACCGAAGGCGACCGGAGCCCAGACTCAATCTGGAATTTTGTTTCATGGTCCCATGGACATTGAATTATGCAACCCCCTCCCATCCGCCCTCACTGCCATTCCTCTCATTCCTCCACCCGTATCTCCCTTTGCGTTCCCTGATCCCCTAGCTCCTCTCACCTCTCACTCACCCCCTCTCTGCCCCTCGCACCCTCACCCCTCTCTCGCCACTCCTTTCAGTGAGGAGGGCTGACCCGCGGATGTAAATGTGCCATGCAAATGTAGATCTCTATTAGTTGATGAACCCCCACCCTCGTCTCTTTCGCACAGAGGTGCTGTCCGCGGGGCCTCCCAGCTCCACCTCGCGGCCGCAACGCCCCAACACCGCTGCCCCATTCCATGGGGATGAGCAGGAGTTCTGTTTCAAAATTATGAAAACTTCATCTCGGTCCTTAGCAGCACCTTTTGTTTTGTTTTTTCTTAAACCTTATTTTTTTTGTGAGGACACATTATTTTGAGCCACTTACACTGCATGTTAAAAAAAATCGCGAATTTGTCAAGTTTTTCTAAGACTTTCCTCGTTGTACGACGCGTGGTTGGTAACGTTACTTTCAAATATAGAAACGCGTTATAAAGCAGGCAAGTAAAAGTCCCTACTAACAGAGTGCAGAATTTTTCTTTGACGAGATACGGACGGTAAAGTTCGGCTCATAACGGCTCTGCAGCATGGCTTGCCCGAAAATAAGATGTATTTCTACACTCTTAATCGAAAAAATCTGGATTATTTTAGAAACAGTAACGGCGTTTATCATTACTGAGGTTTAGTAACGCGTTACGTTACCCTTACAGGCACCCGAAAATGTAACGCGCTATCGTTATCTTTACCTAACGATAACGCACTAACGCCGTTAATTGTTAAAAGTACGTTCCTTACCCTTACAACAGCAGTGTTAGATGTCGGTTCGATGTGTAGCAACAGTTTTTGTTAATAAACATGACTTTTTAACGGTGTATATGACCGGATCATTCCTACGTAATGTTTCGGTGCAGTTTTATTTGCATTTTTGTGGATTTAATCGCCACGCGCGGTCAGTGCCCCCCTCTTTTTTTCCACGTCGAAAGTTTTCGTTTAGTTGAAAATCGTTGCGGTGACACGCCTCGCAGCACGCCGCAGCCGAGTCAATATTTGAATATGACTTTGAACTTGAGGCTCACGCTTGTCGCGAACAAATAGCGAGGCAGAGAAGAAAGTGGGGGAAAGGAGAGGGAGTGGGTCCTAGGCAGATCTCTCTTTCTTCACGTTTTGGTCTCTGCCTATCTCCGCCTCTTCGCCGCATCCCTCAAGAATGTTCGGGGTGTTACTGGGTTGGAATGGTATCCGGCGGGCAGCCGAATTGGCGCCGCTCGGCCCCGGAATTTTCCCGTGTGTTTTGTGTGTGAGTGTGGCCGTGGTGTATGTGAGTGCGTGTCTTTGTTTGGCCCCTCGTGCGCGTCGCCCGGGAATGTCGCCTTATTTCCGATTGTGGAGAGGAATACGAAGGGGAAAAAAATGGAAAGCGCCTTCGTTGTGCTCCACTGTGATTCTGTCTCGGGTGGTACGACATCTATGTGCGCGGTACGCCTGCTTGGTCACAGGCAACTAAAACGTATGTCTTGTTTTTTCCGGTGTTTTGTCCTACACACTAAAAGCTTTTATGAAAATTTTTGTTCAGAATACGTCGGCACGCCTGCCCGCCCGAACACTCGTACCGGGTGATTCAGAGAAGACGCAGGTGCGGGAGTTTGCCTATCCTCGACTCGGCGGGCGCACGGGTCCCCTCCTCACCTCTCCCCAGACCTGGACCCGTGCGCCCGACGAGTCGAGGATAGGCAAACCCGCCCGCACCTGCGTGTTCCCCGAATCACCCGGTACGGAACGGAAAAAGTTGAAGATGTCAACGGCGGGCGGGACTCGAACCCCCGACTTCCGGTGTGGGGGAGCGGCACGGTATCCACTAGGCCACGGCGAAAACACACGGAAAAAAAGAATGAGCTAAACTGTCTAATGCATTCGCTAATATGGCCTTAGATTAGAATATTAGCTCCCCTAGCTAATTCTAGCTACGAGAGCTAAGAGAGCTAAACATATTAGCTTTCACAGCCAGTTCCTTTATTTGGTAGACAACTGTCATGGCTGATTTTTTAGCTCTCTTAGTGGATATCGTGCCGCTCTCCCACGACGTGTTCGCCTATTTCTGTGCGAGTCTTCGGGTGGGCCGGCGTGCCGTACGCACCCACGCGCTGTTACTCCTTGACCGGAGGACGTCTTCAGGATGTCTATATTTTACCTTTTCGTTGTCTCTATAGTGTCTCCTGGAGGTCTTCACGAAGCTTCGGAGTCTCTGCTTTGTCTCCGGGCAGTCCCTGTAATGTCTCTGGAGAGTCTGCTCGGTGTCCGCATGCCCGCTAGGATGTCTCTTTTTGTCCTTAAAAGATACTTCCTAGAACTATTTGAAGCGATTTGAAGTGTCTCTGAGTTGTCCCAGCACAGGCTCAGGCGTAGCTTGTGATAGCCTCGGTGGAGTCTGGGCGATGTCTCTGTCACCTGCCAGGTGAGAGGTGAGGGGGAAACTCCGGCCCGTGGGTAAATTAATGTAGGTGAATGTAGTAAACTTAAAATTCTTCTTGAGAGATAAGAACCTCATAACCGCCAGGCTTCTATCTCGGCTTTACATTGAACGTATGTTTGTTGTACACCCACACGTTGCTTCTTGTGTGCGCTGGACGCTGCGATTGGCTGGGCTCCAGAGCAGCTGGTGGTGGTGGTGGAGTTAGCGGCGCTGGTTTCGAGATAAGGGAAAAGGGAGGGGGGGGGGGTCGACAAAGGCAGACCAGCGAGGAATTAGAAGGAAGGGGGGAAGATTGTCAATGATAAACGGCGTTTTAGCAGTATTTCGTCCCTACCGTTTGTTTCTGCGAAACTCGCATGGTGCTTTTTAGTGTCCGTGCGCACGCGCGCGCGCGCGTGTGTGTGTGTGTGTGAGGGGGAAGGGGGAGGGGTAGTCTGGTTGCTGGTTGGATTCTACGATAGCCTCGGCTTCGGCCCTTTTGTTCCTGATAAGCACAACCTTATATGCCATATAGTGTCGCTGGAACACACTCATCCTGCAGGTGCTGATATTTTGCTGTATTTCGTCAGTTATTATGTTGGTTTACTTACGTGGTGGTGTTTAACAGCTTCTCATTCAGGATTTAGTTAAACATACCCTTCAAAGATTAATGCAGAGCTGTTACAGTTGTAAATGGCAAACGCTTTTGTTTTGTATAGCTGTGAGAGATAACCCGAGGCAAAGTAATAGCCTGAATGTTGTCTTAATGTTGTCTGAATCTTGTCGAGGGTGACGGTTAATTCGTAGGTAAAGCGCAGTTAAACGGCAGGTCGTCGTCAGTCAATCGTCAGTCTATCGGTAGCCAAACGGCTGACCATCCTCATCGACAAACGGCAGACAAACGTCAGACAAACCACAGCCAGACCGCAGTCCATCGGCAGTCGATCCTCAGCCCAGTTAGACTGAGGATTGACTGCCGTTTGTCTGCGGATTGGCAATGCGTTACCAGACTTTGGAGCCTCAGACAATCTTCAGACAATCCTCTGCAAGAGATGAAAATGAAAACAATCGTCTCGGCCGGGCAGCTGCCGCCGGCCCGGTACCGAACCCCGGCCCCCGGAGTGGGAGT